CTCTAAATGTTTTTTTTCTATTTAGTTGTTTTGCTGAATTATTGAATGAACTTTATGCCACTGTAATTTACTCGTCTGTTTTTTTTTCCTATCAAGCTTCTTTGTTTATGTAAAACACTTTGTGCTTTATAAATAAACTTGCTTATACCTGTATCAACTAAAAGTCCATTAAGAAAAGAGCTCTTGGCAAGACTGCTTGTTTGGAAAATATTTTGCATGATTTCAGATAATACAACAAAAAAAATGAGACCAAAATACTTTTAGGTAAGATATAAGATTGTAAGACTTGGTTAGACTGACATTTTTTGCAATGTGGAGTTCTGCACTTAAATGTTTCTGATGTGTAAAACAATCCTGGACTTTGGCAGCATACCTGACATCTAAAATCATCTAACATCAAAAGTTTTAGAAAACTAACAAGTTTTTTTTTTTTTTTTACTAAAAGTTTTAATCTGAGGTTTTTGCCAGACATAAAAAAAGCTTTAAATCATGTTCAGAAAATATGTTTTCTTGTAAATCAGTGCCAGGGTGAACTGTGTATGCATGAGTGGACTGAGCGACCTGAAAACAGCATCAGATGTTGGGGTGTGTGACCTCTCTTAATGAGATGCTAACAGATGTTTCTGGTTGGACTGTGTCCACATGGCAGCAGGAGAGGCTTCCAAAGACCCAATCACTTTGAAACCTCTACATCAATGTCTGTTGTCACCTTCACATTTACATAATACAGGGTGTTTTTAAAGGAGGTTGTACTTCTGAGGGTTGAGCGGTCAGTGATTTCTATGAAAGACTGGGCGATGCAGTAACTTCACCCTCTATCTGAATTTAAACTGTTTGCAGAGTTTTATTTTTAACAGTGAAACACTTAATTTTGTGCTACATTTAGGGGAAAAATCCTAATTTTCCACAAGTGCAGACCTGCAGTTTTGTCTGTGATGTCGCCTTCTATTCGTATCTACCGTCTGATATAAAAACAACAGACAGAAACACATCTTTTATTTATGAATCGCTCATTTAAGAAGCATAAGTGACATTTTATTTAATACTCTTGTTGTTCTTCAGCAAATAGCTGAGCATGTCTCATGGCAAGTCAGGTTATGTAGGAATACTAACTCAAAGTGTAATTTTAAAGTACTTTATGAGATAAGGGAAGAAAAAAAAAAATAAACATCTACCACAGGAGATTTGTATTTTTTATAGGGTTGAAACAATTAATCGGATTAATGCTGATTAATCGATTATTGAAAGAATCGTCAACTAATTTAGTAACTGGAAAATAGAGACTCTAAAACAGGCCTTAATCTGATAGAGCAACCCACTTAGAGCAGTAGTTATACCAAAATTGTAAAAACTAATTTGTAAACAGTTTGCATTTAAGATAAAAAAAACTTTTTCATCTTTTCATACGCTCTATCCAGAATTCCTCAAGTGAAAAAGTTTTAGTTTCACCTGGTTTCATTTCTTAAAAAGTCTTCTTTAAGGAAACTTTGGCTCTCCAATTATCAATCGATTAATAGAAAAAATGATCTGCAGATTGATCGATGTGCAGAATTTGCAGCCCTAATATTTTTTTTTTACCAACAATGTGCCATTTCAAGTTTTAGGTTTTAAAATGAAGATAAAAAGAGAATAAACACTTTTAATGGGTTGCTTAAATGTTTTTTGAAAATTATATTTGAAAACCAACATTATTTCCACGTAAAAAAAAAAGATTATGATAAATAAATTATTTGTCAATTTATTTTTTTAATTAAAAATAAAAATCTATAAGAGCCACAAACAATACATGACCTTTTATCGAAATACGATAATTCCAATAAATATATTGGGAAAAATTGGGGAAAAACATACGTTTACCCACTTAAAAAAAAAAAAAATATATATATATATATATATATATATATATATATATATATATATATATATATATATATATATATATATATATATATATATATATATATATATATATTATTATATTATATATATATATATATATATAATTCTCTGAAAGTTACAGTCAGATTATTGATCCAATTATTATTGGGAAATTCTATGTAATTAGTCAGTAGAGAAAATGCTTAGCCATGCATTTTTTATGACATCTAGTGTTAAATTAGCTAGCTCTTTGTCTTTTTAAGTGACAAAGGGCCATAGCTGAGTTTCTAAAGAGCCACTTGGGTTCCGGAGCCACAGGTTGCAGACCCCTGTTCCTCCATTACCTACTTCCTTGTATACATTCCTTTTTTTTTCTCCTTTTGTCCATTCTTCCTTCCACATATAGTCACTTATTCCATATTTAAAGTCACAATTTCATACTGCATTTTGAATTTCAAAAGGAACAAAAAAGGACTAGAAACTCTGGAAAGTTAAGTCTGATTTTGCTCTCTTGTTTTTGCTCTTTCTGTTGGATTTTTTATTGTCTGTTCCTCCGGCTAATGATAGCTTCTCCGAATGATGACAATGCCAGCAGAGTTCCCTCCTGCCTCTATTCTGGTTTCTATCCTCAATTCATAAACTATAGCCAGGGAAACAATATCTGTCACTCTGAGTGACGGAGCGGTCCGAAAAGACGGTGTTACAAATGAAAGATATCAGCAACAATTCATCACTTCATCATCACTCTCGCACAAAAAGACCTTCTTTGTTAGAAATTCATGGGTAGCACTAATGTGTTATCAAGGGGGAAGGAAAAGTAGGAGAAAGACGTCGATCTGGACACACATAGATAATTCCCAAATCAGACATTTATGCTAAACTGACCAGTGGATCAGGTTCCTAATTAGGTCCAAATGAACAATTAGCTGATTGGGTTTAAAAAAGAGCTGTCAGTCAGATGACAAGAGAGCAGGGATGAGCAGAGATAAAAGCAGGGAAGAGAAAGAGACAAAAATACCTGGATGACAGTCCCTCTGGATAGGTAGACACAAGGATAACACATCAACTAAAGAATTTGTGTTTCTTTTTCACACCTTCATGTGTGAGAGCGCATCTTTGTGTCTCTGCACACAAAACACACACGCCGTTGAAGGAAGCGCAACATGACCATTATTGCCTTTTAAGTTTGCAAGCAGAAAAAGAGTGCATTCGGCTTCTGATTTACTTATACTTAAGCAAAGTGGTTGAGGAACATTGACTCAGTGTGACCTTGTTTGCAGGGAGGAGCTGATGATGGAGGACCTTTCCATTAGCAGACATTGGCTGTGTCCAAATCTCCACCCTAATCATTGTGGTTATGCCATTTTAAATGAGTATACAAATGTCTACAAGATGAAAAAGTAGTGGACTCGAAATTTCCCACAATGCATCTTGAAAAGTAGTGATCATCCATGGTCAGTCGACAAGCAGATATATACCGGAATGCACTGTGAGGAGAGCTCTCCTTACAACGCATTATGGGATGTGCTGCTAATAATTGTCTACATAATTGGACTTTATTGATCTCACACTGGGGAAATTTACCTCTGCATATAAGCCGTCACCTTGGGGAGCAGTGGGCTGCCATTTTGCAGCACCCAGGGAGCAGTGTGGGGTTAAGGGTCTTGCTCAGGGACCCAGAGTGCAGGCTATGGGGATCGAACCGAATACTTGCAACTTTCTCAGAGCAAAAGTGCCCTACTCTAACCACTAGGCCAACTTTTTTTTATCCAGTAGACATTCGGACACTAATCTAAAAATGGCGTAACCACTATATAGTGCCCTATATATTGATCAGGGCGGACACTCGGACACAACCAGTGAGTGAGTGAACATACGTCAGAACATGTGGTAAGAGCACATGCTCGGATTTCATAAATGCAACACGTCCTATTCAGACTGAATGTAGCATATAGATATAAAACCTATAATTCTTTATAAGCAAAATAATAATAATCTGACAATCTATTGTTTTTTATCATAGCAGGGTTAGATAGCTTAGCAGTAACACAGATGTGTATTTACCAGATTATCATTCTGAGTGTTGTAAAAAACATGAAAAAAGTAGATCTATGTAATAATGCTGCAGATCTACATGTTTATTGTTAAAAGTAAATGTTTTATTTACTGACCAATTTGGAACCAGACAATTTTATTTTGCTTAAAATAAAAATATGTGTGAAATCCTGGGGTCTGTTTTTTGCCTCTGAATCTCTCTTAGATGTTCTGCTTTAGCCTCCTCATTTCACAGAACAGTTGCCTATAATAGATCCGCAAACTTGTACTTTTTTTTTTATCATTACTTTATCTTTCTAATATTTTTCCCGATAAGTTTAAGCATAATTCCTTTCCAAGTATGGTCATTTAATCAATTAGATTAAGCATTAGCTGCTTTAAAACTAGCAAAGATTTGTATAGTGACATGGATGTCAAAACAGCTTCAATGTTGTGTGTTTAAGCAAAGCTTTATGTAAAAAAATGTCATCCAAAGTGGGCAACAGCAAGAGTTTAAAGAAAAAGGTGTCAGTCTGCATGAGAGATGTGGAAAAATAAGCTAGAAAATAACTGGAAATCTACCATAAAAATAAATTTCCTAGCAGCAGGTATTTTTAACACAAAGATATCAGAGGACGTGCTTTTTAAAATTGTAGACACACACTGTTTCTCCTTTGACAGTCTCCCATTTTGTGTAGGCGGTGCCTATACAGTAAACCCCCATTGCAGCCATACATCTGCAAACTCACGTACAGAGATGAAAGAATGAATGTATGGAGGCCTAAAGGCTTGGGTGAGATCCAAATAAATCGTTGCAAACCAAGACAAACACTGATCTGTGCGTGACTCAGGGTCAGCCCACCTGTCAGTCTCCCTGTCCTTTCTCTGTCACCCTCTCACATGCAAATGTACACTTTTCCGCCTGATTCCCTCACATAGAGGGATCATTATCTTTGGCACTTTGCAGACACGCCGCCATGACGGGGTTATTATTGTGAAAGGGACGGCACTTAGCTCACTAGCCCTAATTAATAATGCAACCTCTATGTTTAGGTGTGGGTTCAATGCGTGCGCGGCAGCTCGCTCACCCTCCTTTGATGTAGTCCAGAAAGGTGACTTCAATGTCCACTAGGAATGACAGCAGCGTTACCTGGAAATGATAGGCTGACAGTCAGCGACTGATCCCTGACGGGACAAATAGAGCATTTCTCTAGAATTCAATAAGAACCCAGTTCCATTAAGCTGGATGAAAGAGGCTGCATGAAATGAGGCACAAAAAACGCATTTCAGATCTTTTAATCTCAGCTAAACGCACTGAAAAAAAGAAGCAGTTTAATTTCCTCCTTACCGTTCCAGAGTTTTTATAGTTTTTCTTCTTTCCTTTTTTCTTGGGATTCACCACCTAGAAAGGGAGGAGATCCGCGTGTTGAAAAATTTACTCAAGCAGGTGAGCAGGGTTAAAGTTAGATTTTCATTACTCATAAATTCAAATATAATTTTATTTTAAAGTACGAAATAAAAAAGGATATCTCTACTGCAAACTTTAATTATGGAACCTGCAGAAAAAATAGAGGCTGTAAAGAAGAAAGGAAGGAGCGCACACAAGGGAGGAGGAGAGACACAAGAAAGTAAGGAAGGACAGTGAAAAAGGGAAGAGAGGACAAGCAAGGATCCGAGGAAGTAAAGGAGGAAACATAAAAGCATAAAAAAGAGGAAGAAAGAATGAGACAAGGAAGGACATAAGGAGGCATATAGGCAAAATGAAGGAAAGAAGGGAAGGACATAGTAATAAAAGTTAAAGAAAACACTAATGTATTTATTCTATTTATTTCTATCACACATTCAGAGGTAAAAAGCATAATGTGTTTCACAGAAGCAGGTATTTAAATACAAAAAAAGCAAGAAAATGTCAAACATATCTAAGAACAGAACTTTACTGAATAATATCAACTAATTGGGCTATAATATGATAATAGTTTGTCACCTTCCCTCATTTTTCCCTGATCTGCTTCTTTTCCAGGGGCAAAATTTACCTGATTACTTACATCTGGTTCTCATGCTACTTTTTTTCTCCTCCAGTAGATAAAATTCTCTAACTATTCTCTCATCCTCTTTTATTTCCTTGCTGTTTTTTTGCATTGGTTTCATTTTAAATTGTAAAGACTTTGTTGTCCTTTTGTCTATATGTAAATTTTCTGAAGCCTCCATTCGGCTGCTCTGTGTCACCACAATTGGGCCCAACTACTATAAACGAGGGAGAAAAGAAGGAAGGACACAAGGAGGCATGGGAGGAAGAAGGAAGCATAAAAAACACAAATAAAGGAACGAAAGGAAGGATGAAGTCTGGGATAGAAGACGGACTTACACGTGGATGTATGGAAGGAAAGCAGGAAGGACATTAAGGATGAAGAAGTTTCTAAAATTGAATATAAAGCTTTCATTTTTAAAACTTGGGCATCTCAAAGTTGGGATCTCTATCCGATTTGCAAATGGCTATTTGAAGTCAAGATAAATTTGTAAACTATGCCATTTTTTACTTTTAAAAATGTTATATATTACTGCTTAATGAAGCCGATACAACACAGTTAATGAAAAAAATCAAAAACTACTTTCCAAGCGTGAGAGATCAACATTTTGATAGATGTTTTTCCTTGAAAACTTTTTAACTGGTAGCATCATGGAGCTGCCTTTGAGCACCATGTCACACATCCACTATTAATGTGAATTTACAACACAATCACACCTCAGATGCCTCCCAGAGAAATTAAAGTCAAGCTTTTAATATAGTTACTTTACTATTTTTTTTTTAAGATTATTTGGATGTTGGCCTCAACTAATGTCATCTCAAATAAATCTATCAGGAGTTCGTAAAACATTCAGGTGCTTCAGTAATGCAAAGGAGTCAGACAGAAGCAAAGATGAAACTCCTTTTGAATTCCAAACACTGAATCCTTGCTTCCTGGCCTCATTAAACCACACCAAGGTTAAACAGAAGGGGAGGGCATAGAGGAAACAACCAACGAAAATGTGGATTCTTTTATGCTTTTCTCCTTGGTTATCTTTGAGAAAGCACCCTAAAGCTGTGTGTGTCATTGGAGGTGAAACAGAATGTGGTTGTAAAACCAAAATAAACACTCTAAGTGTGTTTTTTCATGCAACTATCACCCTCATATTACACTGAGGGTGTCCCCTCTGTGCTTTCCTGTATCTTTCCTTTGCTATCCAGTGGAAGCTGACAACCTATTACTGTATTAGAGCATAAAAATAAAAAAAATAAATACAGCATTGATTTAATCTTTCAAGCATCCACTCTTTTGTCTATATTTAAAATAAGCAGCTAGATGATAAAATAAAGGATCAGCTTTGAAGAAATATGCTCCCCCCCCACTCACACTTACCTCATAAACATTAAACTGGCTCTGTCCCATTGAGAGCTCTCTGTAGCTTGTGCTGAACTCTCCAATAAAGTCATGGCTTTATTAAAAAGAGTAAACAAGAAAAACAGATGGTTATTCCTCTAAAAAACTCTGACTTTTATACACTCACTCGACTTCAATTAACTAATATTTTAAACATTTAGTTTTCTGGTCACACTTTAGATTTCTTTAAAAATCACTACTGTCTTTTAACCCTCTAAACAAGCAGCAAATATAAGCAAATGGATAATCACATCTGGTGTTCCTCAAGACTTAATTCTCAGCCCACTTTTATCTGATATCTACAAGGGAAGGCAAGGCAAGGCAAATTTATTTGTATAGCACAATTCAGTACAAATGCAAAGTGCTTTACATGATTCAAATACAGGAAAATAAAACAGAATCAAGGCAAGTAGGGAAAAATAAAAAATAAATAAAATCTACATGCTTCTTTTCGAATATATTAGAGCTTTGCATAATTATTTCCTACCTATGACTCACGTGAGTAAATAAATGATTGCAAGATAGTGATTTTATAACGTAATAACATAAATAAGTGGGCAATAATAGGCCGTAAAAAAAAATCTAATTTATTAATTTATTTATATTACATATATATTATATATTAATATAATATATATATTATATATTTATATTAGACATTAGACTGCTGAATGTTGTGTAAAATGTTTTTATTTATTTATTTTTATATATATATATATATATATATATATATATATATATATATATATATATATATATATATATATATATATATATATATATATATATATAAAAATAATAATAATAATAAAATTTATGTTAGAACTGTAAATAAAGAGTAATATATTTGTATTATTATTTTTTAAAGTATTTATTCATGTTTTTCAAGGCTGCACTTTAAAAAAATGAAATTGTCTGGCGCTTTTTTAATTAAAATTTGTTTTTGTTTACATTCATGTATACAAAATGACCAAATAAATCTGTCTAAGTCTAAGTTTATATACCTAAAATGTAGAAGTTTTTCAATGGTGGGGAAAAACAAATATCCCCTACTACACCCAAAACGCACCATCCACACAGTGAAACATAGCAGTGTGACTTTTCTTCACGAGGTTTAGGAAAGTAAACGATTTTCTTGAAAGTTTTTCATTTTAATTAATAAAAAAACATGTTTAAAATCATTGTCTTTCTCTCCAAAAGGGAGTTTCGTATAAATCACCACTACAACATATTGAGGTTTTTATGAATGGACAAAAATGCAAAAGAGCTGAGATACGGCAATGTGAACGTCAAACTTTTCTTAAATGTTTCTGTTTATAATTACCTGCCATCCCGGTCCCAGTCGTAAACTTCAACCTTGATTGTTCTGGTTGGAGAGAAGCAAAGTTAAAAATGAAAAATGTTTCTTAAAACTATACAAAGGGGTCAAAGGTGAAATTATTATTATTTTTTTTAGAAAGGAAGAGCCTTTCTGCTTTTTATCTTTAGTCCAAAATGTAATTTACCTGCCCTTATTTATCTTATATAATGCTCTCTTCTCACCTTGAAATGCATTCATTTCTCCATGTCATTATATCTTATAAGGAAATTAGAAAACAAAAATAAAGAGCAGCCTGAAAGGGTTTTTGATGCGTGATACTATCTCTCCATCTGCCAATATCTTTCACAGAGGGGATCTCTGACGAAAACAGAAGAATAACTCGTAGAGAAAGGAAAGGGGATGAGCAGAAGAATAAAAGTACAAGCATCAAATTATACCAGAAACAGCTTTCTGCACTCAGCCAGAGAAAATGATGAGCCCCTCTGTTAATTTAGTTTGTCATTTTGAGAGAAGACAGCAGAGACAGATCTCCTGTGCTCCACTGTAGAAGTCTGTAACTAGACAGGAATTTCCCGACTGGGTTCCGATCTTACATCTAAGCCATCCTCAAGTGATATCCAATTAGAATCTAACTGCACTTTTCCATTTTGTTCATCTTGTAGAATAAGGAGTGGAAATGTAGGTCCATCAGTGCATTAGGGAGAAAGAAAGATTTACAGTAAAGCAGGAGGATGGGCCTGACCAATACCGATAAATTAGACAGATGGTTAGAGTGCTGTCTGTGTTACCCTCTTTGTGCTTTTTATCTGTTTCTATGTGTGGCCAGGTCTCGTTAAAACTGTTTTTCCAAGGAAAGCATCTTAACATACGAAGCTTTGATGATGCAACATGGAGCTGTCAGCGAGTTCACTCATGGCCCCCCTGCACACAGGCATTGTGACCGAATGCGATTTTTGAAAAGAAAAGAAAGACAGTCCTTTGTTTTTCCAGCTGAGCTCGCCCTTATCTCTAGTCTCAGGCTGCAGACTGGTGTGCGCCGGTCCTCGTGCGCAGCGTATACAGCTCGCTGAGTCCCCCACTGATAAGACACAGAGCAACTCAGCTCCACCAGTAAGCTTATTTGACCGAACTTCAGATCAATTCCGCTGTCTGTTAGTTCAACTGAGATAAACCCTGTTGAGAGCTTCTTTGTGCCCTTTTCACCACTAAGCTGGGATCAATTTATTTGTTTTCTAACTTGATAGAGTTGAACTTTGCTTTATGTAACCTGGGAAGAACTTGCGTTGCAAAGAGGAAAACACAGCATTTATCTAAACCGGAAATGCAAAACAACACACTGCTTCTCCTCCCCCACATGTTGCTGTATATTACAGGTTAGCTGGCTGAAAAATGAAAGAAGTATTTATTTATTTACTACTACATTTCTAAAAGACAGGCTCTCACATCTTAGCCATACAGTAGGGTAGGTCTGCTGGTCTGCACTGCATCTGGACCGATTTATTCTAGAAAAGCTTCCTAATTAACTCATTTACAGGGATGATAATCCTCATATTGGTATGGTCACAAGAGGCGACAACCAAGGTAATTATTGTTTTAAAAAATGACAAAATAATTAAAACTATAACATAAAACATTTTTGTTAATTTAAATAAAAATTTAAACCTGAAAAAAAAAAACTTTAATAAGTGTTTAAAAAGTGTTAAAACTAACTGAATGTGTCTTTATCATAATGCATTAATGGGATGACGATTAACAGGTTGATGTTTTAGCATTTTTTTCACTGTAATGCATATATAAATCGAATTAAAAATATGAAGTCAAAACTACATAAGAATAAAAACTTATGAAAATGTATCATTGGTGGCAGCAGTTAACATTCACATCAGAAAATCAAGAGAACCAGAGAAAGTAGAAAAAGGATATAAATGGTAAGAAGAAGCATATCAGTCATTTTTTCATTGCTTTTAAATGTATTTAGGAAAATGTTTATGTATGTTTTCTGTTGGTCTTATCTGGACTTATTCTCTGTTTTTAACTGTTTTTCTTTACAAAATCCTTTAATGTTGAGAAGTACAAACTGTTTTTGAGGGAAGACAGCGCCAATTTATTCTTTGCAATAATAGAAAATAAGTTTATTCCGAATGTAAACTATATTTGACAAACTTTTAAAAATATCTTTAAAAGTATCTCAAATTAGTTTGGTAATGTGAAATATTTAACTGTCACAAAAATGACATAAATTAGTCATATGAAAGAAGCAACTAGTTTCTCTTACTTAATCACTTGATGCATGCCAAAAAAGAAGAGAACATGTGACAATGTTCTTTCTTTTTTAATAAACAGGCCTTAACAGACTATTTAGTTTTAGGTATAGAATAACAAAAATAAAATAATCAAATAAATAAATTTTATATAGCGAATAGTTTCATACTGGAAATTATAGAAAGGTTTTTATTAGAATAAATTAACAGTATTTAACAAAAAGCAGACATTGTTGATTACCATTCACTTGCTTTAGCATTTATTTAGTGACAAGGGATAAAGAGGCAACAGACAGGATATTTAAGTAAAGCTTTTGTAAGAAAATAGCTAATTGTTTAATCTTGCAGGCTTACAGTCAGAGCAGTGGTAAAAAAATATATATATCTCAATAGATGTCTTTTAGAGAAGTCCAGCAATATTTTAAGGTGGGGTTGTAATACATAACAAAAGATTAATTCATGTCCAAGGATTATGATGTGCTTCAATAGAAAAACAAGCTACATTTGCTGCAATCCCTACATTCCTTCAACATTTTAGGCCTGAAAGGTTGTATTTCCTACTTGTTAGGACTCTAACTCCTGGTTATCTTAACAATCTTTAACAATAAGAACCACTGTGGAGCTATTCTAACTCTTTATTTCCGATTTCCTGATTCCTGTTGCTCCTGGGCTAAACATGCAAAGGTCAACTATCCCTCTAGTTTCCACTGATCTATGAAGGCATCAGGGTAAATGGGGTGAATAAAAATGCATTAAGCAGCATATTTTTTCTTTTACTTTACAACTAAATTGCTAATCTGTATTGGTTTATCAAACAAAATCCCACTTATAGGAATTAAAGCTAGAAATTGAAATGTGACAGCATGAGAAAATGTTCAGCTGACGTGAATACTTGCGACAATAAGGTGTATCAATGTTTACCTGACATTGCTAAAAAGCTGTCACCTCCTCTGGATGTTTCACAGAGCCGACAGGGAAGCTCTCATCCTGCAGCCCAATGAGTTTCATCATCAGTTTGCCAAAGCAAATCAAAGCTAATCGCACCATTTAACTCTGTCGACACAACCAATAAATGGGATCTCTTTAGTTTGGACAAGGTCCAAACGACTAAATCACACAGCCAGAAAATACCATTAGCGCTTGCCAAAAAGACTGAGGAATCAATCTGAACGCTATTATGGAGATAAGAAGCAGGCATTTGGATTCTTATAGAGCGCCACACCAGTATGCTGCAGAGGTTGTATTTTCAGTCATTATTTCTGCCCCTGTGGTGAAAATGTTAGCAGTATTCCCTCTGTTGGTAATCCTCACCCAATGTAGACCATGCCTTTTCCACATGGTGGGGAACCATATTATTTACTCTCCTTGTTATCATCCTCGCAGTGAAACAGAAACAACAAATGATCATGATCAGCTCTGTCACATAATGACGGCTTCTATCATTTCAAAGTAATTCTATTAATAGCGCAAAAAGGGGCCTTTATGCGGCTATAATGTGGGGTGGTTTTTATAAACACACCAGTCTGAAGAGGCCATTAGCAGGACCCTGCAGCAGATCAATAAGGCTACTCAAGGTACATATTACCCTTAAGATTTTGTTTGTGTACTGTTCTAAAAAATATGTGATGGTGATGATGAAGATGCTCGAGGTAGTGGTGATCTAGTACCCATGATGCAGGGAGATTTACCTGTCGTAATCCCCATTGCAAAGAGCTCTGACAGGGATCTTAAAGGCTTGCCACACAGGGTTCAGCGTGTTCTTCACCACCTCAGTCTTGTGGCAGATGGTAAACCTGTAGAGAAATAAAGACAAGTAAAAGGTGGTAAACATGACCAGATATGACCAAAATTTGACAGTTTTTACCTTAATTGGCATGACTTACCAGCTGGATAATAACTAAACAACCCAAATCTAAGGCTGTGTCCGAATGTCCGCCCTAATCACTAAATAGGGCACTGTATAGTGGTTACATCCTTTTATATGAGTTTTACTATGTCTAGTGCAGGGATTGGCAACCCACACCACTCAAAGAGCCATATTGGACCAAAAAAACAGCAAATAAATCTGTCTGGGGCCACAAAAATATAAAAGTCTTCTAAATGCCTTGCATACACTTAAAGCCTGCAACACAGGTTGTACAGGGTGTATTATCCCACTATAGAAAATGACTATCTGGGCTTAAATGTACAATAAGCATTCATGATTAAATGTTTACCCCCTGAGCATATGTTAAATAGCAGCATAAAGGTGCGAGAGGAGCAGTGAACGCTCTCACTGCGTGGAATTCACTGCCCTTCACCTCACGATTTAAGTTTTGTTGCATTGATGAAATTATAGAAACACGATAAAGAAATCTTTCTATGGTGGATGTGTTTCTGTTGGGAGAAGTTGATTGAGTCATGAGGAACCAAGCAGGAACTGACATCCATCAGAGCAGAGCTCTGTCACCCTGAAATCCCACATCCTCCGTCACCAGCGTTCCTTGGTGAGATTTATATTTTTGGGATTTGGGGAAAAAAATGGAATAACATAACTGCATCAGAGCACTACCTGTTTAATCTGTGGATGGTTTTTAATCCTTGCAACCAAACTAACAGCAGTAGTGGAGTTTGGAGATGCAATCCACTTCTTAAATCTATCTTTGCTCTCCTAATTTATCCAGAAATTCTGCAGTTGCACTTTTTGGTGGTCGGCTGCATATTTAGCCTTCCCTGGAAATACCTTTCCAATTTTTTCTTTTTCTTTTTTGACAACCTCTCATTACAAAGCATAAATGCAGGCAATCCTTTATGGGGCCAAAATGGTAGCTTTAATATTTGCAAATGTGTGTGGAGAGTTGTGTGTCTGTACAACAATCTGCAAATGTGTAAAAAAATCCACAAATCTGTATTCAGATCTGCAAATGTGCACTGAGATTTGCAAATGTGTAAAAAAATCCACAAAGCTGTATTCAGATCAACAAATGTGTACCGAGACTTGCAAATGTGTAGATCAATCTGTAAGCACACACAGAGACACTTGTGTCTGAAGTATTTTTGCTTCAAGACCCGGCAGCATGTGAGCCTGCGCAAGGGGTTACAAATCGCGAAAATACACATACAAATCCTTCTATGCATTTGTGCATCTCACGCGGCAGAAGAGTAGCAAAAATCACGTGTGTAAAGAGAGCCGACCGAAAAACCGCTTGACTTGTAACCAATGATTTGTCTGTATTTCTGGGTCTTGAAGCGAAAATACTTCAGACACAAGTGTCTCTGTGTGTGCTTACAGATTGATCTACACATTTGCAAGTCTCAGTACACATTTGTGGATCTGAATACAGATTTGTGAATTTTTTACACATTTGCAAAACGGATTACACACAAGTAGTTTTACACATTTGCAGATTGTTGTACAGACACACAAATCTCCTCACACATTAACAGATTTATTTACACATTTTCAAATCCCACTGCACACACACAAATCGAGACACAGACACAAAAAAAAAGCAATATGACCTGTTAATCCTACTTCCCATTTCAAAGCTCCTAAAAGTGTACCAGAGGCTGGTTATGCTTTTCAAACATACAGGCCCACAAAATTTCAGGAATCAGAAGACTTCATTTCATGAATCCCTCAGCTAAGAGGTTGAGTTGGTATCTCCCACTTTCAGAGCAGAAAGCCTAATCTGACTTGTACTAACTGCAGGATGGAAGACACATAGTGATGTCTCTGTGTGTCGTTCACACACGTTTAAAATGCAAATCAATGAAACCCATTTCCTTTGCAGCGAATCAAAAAAAAAAAATGAAAGATGGAGAAAGAAGTGAGGAGGGGAACGTGGAGATAGAAAGGACGGACAGAGCAGGCGGAGAAAACTCACGAGCCGTCCTCGTTGCTCCTGTAGAAAACCAGGAAGGGATCTGACTTGCCAAAGAAATCCTTTTTGTCCAGTTTGGTCCCACAGAACTGCATCATCACAGATTCCTGATGAAGTAAAACAAACATAGAGAGATTAAATGTTTTGAGAACCATTGTGTTCTGTGCAGTAAAATCTTTAGATCTTTCAACAGATTCTCAGTTATGTTTAGATCTGGGCTTTGACTAAGTAGGTTTTCTTCTTCTATGAACCTTCATTTCTTTATACCCATTTTCGCATCAACTCTGACCTGCTGACTTTTGCCATTCCTGGTGTACCGAGTCGGCTGTCTGCTGTCCTACAGCTTCACTGGTACAAAATGATATAGAACGTAAATGTATTTGACTGAGACAGTCTGAATCCAACAGCAATCTTTTCTTATTGATGCCTTTGTAAAAAAAAAAAAAAAAAAAAAAAAAAAAAAAAACTATTTCTACTCTTGTTATTGAACCCCAGAAGTCATTAAGGGCGTGCTGAGGCTAAGAAAGTGGAACAGCAATGATGACAGATTGACATAAATAGCACCATGGAAATCCAGAAGGAGGATCAACACATCTTTTTACTTATTTATTCCCTTATTATTTATTGATTTGAACAGTGTGTTTTCCTGCTGCCGTTTTCTGTCTTAAGGAAATAAATGCCTTGGTGGGTCGAGCAGCTGTCCCTATTTTCCTTTAGGACATTCTTGATTAATTCAAACTAAGACATACCTGGAAGGAGACTTTAAGAACTAGAAGCAGAGCTCCAAGAAACAAAACCAGTTACTCACCCTGCAGTTGTTTAGTTCCTCCGCTTTCACAATAATGGTCCCGCATTTCTTCCCTTGAATGCCTCTGGAGACAACACAAACAAAACCAACACAGCTAAGGGTCAAGAGATCTCAATCACACCCAGATGTAGTGCTTGATTCCATGTTTACGAGACCTGTGCCCTTCCTCCTGCTGTTTGACTGGCCCATAATAGTAAAGGGCAGAGATGGCATGGACGGGCATGCAACCGATACTTCCTAAAACTATGCTACAGTATCTCCAAAAAAGCGCAGTAAGAACACCATGAAGCAGTCGACGGGATCATGAAGCTTGTATAATTACACCAGAAAGGGCCCCATAGATATACAGCATGAGGACTGGCGGTGGATTCCAACCTTTTCTCAGCAGGATGGCAACCTCCATGTGTGCCTTCTAGTGCCATCAGTTGCTGCCTGCCTGTATAATATAAATGCCTTAACAAGTACCTTTTTATCTTATTTATGCTGAGCAATAATTTCATAGCCTCAAAAGAGAAATGGCATTAAATGTTGAAGTATAACATTTACATATTGACACAATCTCTTAGTTATTAGATGGTGTGTTTGTGAGGGAAAGCTGTGGGTCATGGAGGAAGTGTTGATGGACCAGTTTAATCTTGTATGTGTAAGCAGGTTCTGTGAATAAACATGCTTGTTTTGTAGGACATATGCACCACTATTCCTGTTATTCCTCCTCTTGTTTCCAGAATACACCCACACCCCTCACCATAATGGGAAAACAGAGAAGAAATTAGAATTTTTTTTTTTTTTTAATGGCTGAAAAGACAAAAGGGAGAAAAATCTCTTGTGCTTTAAAGTTAGGGCTGCTAGACATAGTAAACTTTGAGGCTGAGGGTGAAAACTCCCAACACTTTGTGACAGGAAGTGTTCTGCTCTAATGAAATCAACTGTGCATCACTTATAGAACAGTAAATCCCTCCCATGTTGGGGGCAACATGATGCTCTGGGTTTACTAGACTTTACTTTTAATAGATGGTGAGATTTTACTCAAGACTGATGAATGTATGAGCAATCAGTTTGGAAAGATTAACAATTAAAGAGGTTTATTTCTTAAATATTTCTTTAATACCATAGAAAACATCCAAATGTTGAGAAAACCGAGCTGTTGCATGGAGGCTTCCCCTGAAAAACATTTCTATTTCCCCACGTAAATGATCTCGCACATGCCTTTTCATACATATGAGCTGCTGAGAAACCACAGAAAAACATTTGCTCCATCAATAGCTTAAAAGTTCAACTCAGCAGTTGTTTTTCTCTCAGATGTACAAGTTTAACCCTTCTATAAAAGCGGGACAACAACCGTCCTTTTCAGTCCTGCTCCGTGTTCGTTCACCCAGACTGCGATTAAGCAGACCAGGAGCAATAAGTTAGGTTCTCCTTTTTACTTTTTAAACCTGCATCTTTAAACAGTGAAATCTCCTCCTTCCTCACCAAGTAGTAGCACGTTGATCCCTTAGTATACTGAGAGCTACGGCACACCACCAGTCCAATAGAGGTCACAGTCCTGAGACTTTGGTATTTAAGGACCTCTTTCAGAAAGCCTTGGAAGCAGAAGCAAATAGGCACAAGTTTCAGACACAATAAGTTTAATATTCGTGACTGCCAAAAAGATCGTCGCCCCCGCTGAGTGGGAGCTTCTAGTTGTCATGCACACATGAGAAAATGATCTAGCATGGATATTTTTATCTGTAAGCCGTTGTTTCAGAGCCTTTGTGTTTTAATTGTCCTTTCTGTGACCAAAAGAAGTAGACAAGACGCGTTACTCTTGCAGCCCCAAATGTTGGTAACTGCATTGAAATGTGATGCATTCTCCAGAATGTCATTCCTATAAAGAGCTATCTGGGCTTGATGCACAATGAAAAAAGAATTACTTTCCCATTTAAAAAACAAGATGTAAGCAGGCGCTTGTTTCAGCTCTGTTTCAAATTTCCTATTAGGTAAAAATTTTATACAAATCAAGAAAGTGAGACACTCAAGAAAATAATGTAGCTGAGGGAAGGATTCCGTTTTCGGTTCAAGAAAATCCAAACATGACATAGACTTAGACAAACTTTATTGTCATTTTCTATACACAGAGTCTATACAAAACAGCTTGCAACGATGAAATGAACCTTATCATTTTAAAGGGCAGCAATATTCAGCATGTAAACAGTGTAGAAGAAAATGAAACCAGTTTAAAAAAGAATGGTGCAAAAGGCCGTTAATATGGAAAGGTTCAGTGCAGTGCAAAATAAATATGGTGCAAAATGCAGTAGAACATTTAGTTGTGTCCTATTTAAAAGTATAGAAGTTTCAGCCATGTTTGTGGTGCAAAAATATGTTGCAAGCATGATGCAGCATCCATTTTAGAGTTCAACAGTCTGATGGCATTAGGGAAAAAGCTGTTGCAGAACCTGTTGGTAATGCAGCGGATTCTGCAAACTCTTTTCCTAGAGGGCAGCAGGGGGAACAGTCTATTGTTATATAACTTTATTAGGAGGACAGGTACCCAACAAATATAAGGTTTTTGTAAAATGCAAGGCAGTGGTTAAGGGGAAGAATAGCCTGTCAATGCTACCACGATGTTTACTGCTCAAGAAAAGAGCATTTTATGATGCTTCTTATCCATCAGTCATGCATATACTTAAATATAATAAAAAAAACTGGGAAAAAACACATTTATTCAACACATGGGTCCAATATTTGAAGGAGGGAGGAAATGAACTAAAGAGAGAAAGGAAAAAATAATCCAGGCGTGCTACGATGCATCTTTAAAGGCATCATTAGATTTTTATTTTTATTTTAAAGGTCTTAATTTTTCTTTAAGTATTTATGCTGTTCCCAAACTAACTAGTGCTCTGAGTACCGAACCATATTTGCCCATATAAATTCTAATAAATAATGTCATTATTTACAATTTTTCATTTTAAACAATAAATCAGCAAACTGCAGTTTGTTAAGTATGGTTTTGACAAGCGCCAGGCAAAGCAGGCTGACATATTAGGAGTAAACTTCCATTCTGACTGTGATGAGATCTGCCATGAGAGACCCCATCTGGTAGAAATCGACTAAGGCAGTCATTTAAAAGCCCAGAATTGGGGTCGAAGACCTCTGAGTCACTGTAATTCAAAATCTCCTTTGAGTGCAGTACAAGGAACTTGGAGGAACATGCGTTCAAGAGCGGTAGAATTATCAAGACGAAACAGCTGATAGAATAGATTTCAGCAAGAAATCGGAAGATGGTGTAGAAAAGAAATGTGCTACCATTGCGGCTTCTTATTATTTCCCAAGAGCTGAGGTCACACTATTCATATCCACAGTGTGTGAAGTGCAGCCGGGGTATTCAGGCTAGAGACAGATAATCATGCAGAAAGAGAAATGCCTGCCAGAGCAATAGAAATACAACCTGTCCTATTTCTACAAAGCTTCAGATAATTGCCATTTATTCAAATGAGTCATTGCACCAGTGAAATAACATACTACAGTAAAAATAAAACCAAACTTTATAGATAGTATGATCATTCAAATCAAAGAGCTAGGACTGGAATTTCTTGAGAGAAATAAAAAAAAAGGTCAGATTTCTTTAAAATCTAAAGTAACCTGTTATATTTCCAGCTGCTAGGCAGCAGCAGTCCTCCTTGTTGGGAGAAACATAGTCTGTTAAATAATTTCAACATCCAGATGGTGGACCGAAATTATGGATGTGCCCGGTTCAAAGCTGACTCCTGAACGTGAGTTTAAAAGGAAACCAAAGAAGGCCATGAAGGCAGCAACAGCATTCCTACATTAGCACGGGAGTGTTTTGATGTTGAGGCTAAATGCACCAATTTATCCAGGTTTTGGATTAAATCATCATATCCTCATCCGAACTAATCTACACAGAACATTATATCAGGATAAATCTGGTGAATAACATCCCTAATAAACATGTTATGTGAGCTTACATGCATGCATGCATTACATGAACAGGATCCTTAGTAGATGGTGTAAATGTGAATTAAGAGCCAATCAGCAAATATATAACTACTGATCAGATACATACAGTAACTGTTGGGTTTAAGGATGAATTTTGGATGACGTAACTCCTTAACAGGGATGCTTTAAAGTACTGATTCCCAAGGTTGGAGTCATGACCCTACTTGGGGATCCTTACTCTACCACAAATTGAACTACACAAGAAATATTTATGTTAGAGAGCTTTAAGATATATAGGCATAATTTATTGTTTGTATACTCATCCAATAGTTTGAGTCTTGATTTGACTCAGGCACCATTTTGTGGGTGAGAAGCTGAAAAGTTTAGGTAACTCTGCTTTAAAGCGTAAGGACATGAAGAAGTTATGCTGACTTCAGTTCCCTTAAAAACTAACTTCATTGTATGTTTACTGGTATTAAAGATAAAGCAAAGTAGTGCATAATTGTGATCTGGAGGGATCCTAATTATGAAGTTTGGTGAGTGTATTTGTATCAACCACATATTTGTATCAATCACACAATCCTAAGGACAAACCCCCAAATCTAAGATGACCGGAGTGGTTTATGCAGTTCAGTGCAGTGAGGAATACCCTGATCTTTATATTGGAGAAACCAAACAACCTCTCTACAGACGCATGGCTCAACACAGGCAGGCTACCTCCTACGGACAAGACTCAGCTGTCCATCTAAACCTTAAGAACAAAAGACACTCGTTTGAGGACCAGAATGTTCACATTTTGGACAAAGACAGGTGGTTTGAAAGGGGTGTGAAGGAAGCCATTTATGTTGAGAGAAAAACCAACCCTAAACAGAAGGGTTGCACCCCAGTTTCAGCTCTTGAAAAACCTATAACACAGCGATAGAGTTGATTCCTTCCCACTACATCGCAATCTTAATCGCCATGCAGGTGGTCAAAACATTGCGCCTGTTAAGCTAGGCTGACAATGACCCTAACCACTCTTTATTACAGCGGCCTGGGCCAGTTTCAGGTTAATTTGGAGGCCAACAACGACCTTAACAAATCCCCATTACTAAGGGGTGGACCTGTTTTCGGTTCAGTTTGCATGTTTCT